CCTGTGGAGTTTTTCCAGAGGTCTTAATTTGAAACTTTGAATCGCTGCAGCTGTGTCTTATTTCTGGGAAAACAACAGTCATTTACCACTTCATGAAATGTATAATTCATGCATGGTGTGTAGATGCTATGAACGTGTGAATAAACCGTTTCTGTCTCTCAGGCTGCAGGTAAATTTGAGGTGGAGGAGAGCGGCTCAGTAGTGATGCCCAAACCAGACCCTGCAGGTACAGAGGCTTGGACAACATTCACATGATTTGTGTGTTTGTCTGATATTCTTTCTTTCCTCATGCTTTGTGTGGCATTTGCTTCAACAATCCACAGGTAACATGACAGGCATGGTTGGCACTGCCCTCTATGTAAGTCCGGAGGTTCAAGGAAACACCAAAGCTACCTACAACCAAGTAAGAGTTGAAATTATGAGAGTAAGAATGTTATTAGGCTGCTATACAAATGAAGTCCATGTTAGTCAACATCATGGCTGTGACCCAGTATTTAAGGGTCTTACCGCTGAGTTTTAAAGTGTGTGGTATTCATCCTTTCTTTCCCTCCTCAGAAAGTTGACCTTTTCAGCCTGGGGATCATCTGTTTGAGATGTCCTACCACCCATGACAACGGGGGCAGAGCGTATTTCTGTCCTGAGCCAGCTTCGTGTGGTGCGTTCAAGTTCAGCAGTGTTACTTGGGCACTGTAATTCTTTGTGGTACTAAGATGTCTCTTTTTCCCGTTGCAGAGCCGACCATATTCCCGGAGGACTATACGCGTATGAGCAAGGAACACAGGTTGTTACACTGCTGCAGAGGATTTCTTTTTTTCCCCCCCTCAGTGTTTCAACAATAGACAAATATCTGTGTTCTTTGTTTCTGTCAGAGAAAAGTGATCCAGTGGCTGTTGAACCACGACCCTGCACTGCGGCCCACTGCCCAGGAGCTGCTGAAGAGTGAACTGCTACCTCCCCCTCAGCTGGAGGATTCGGAGCTGCACGAGGTGCTGCACCACACGATGGCCAATATCAATGGCAAAGCGTACCGCACCATGGTGGGGCAGTTGTTTGCTCAGAACCCCTCTCCTGTGATGGACTACACCTACGATATTGACCTACACAAGGTATGGATACCGATTAAGCTGAACTTGTTTGTTTACTTACATGGGGTCATGTTGTACCAGTGTTTTTTGCTGTCTACACAGGACGGGAACAAGTGTTAACATGTTTTAAGTAAAGTATTCAAATTTATTGAGAAGGATCACATCTTGGTTGTTGGTACAGATCTGACTTTTTTGCCTAAGTGAAACATTAATGGCCATGTTTAATAAATATGTTAGCCATATTTTCACAAAAAATAAAACGTGGCAATAAATATACAAGGATTTAAAGTATTTTGGGTGATTGACAAAAGGCGTTCCACAGGGGTTCGTTCAGGGCCCTATATTATGTACAATCTATATTAACAATGTTGTTTCATCTATCACAGACTCTAACATTTATCTTTACGCGGACGATATTGTTTTATTTGTACCCTTTTTGTTTGTTTTAATTTGCATCTCGACATCATTGTAAATTAGGGAAACCTCAATGATTTTCTAAACTTAAATAAAGGTTTGAAATGATTGGTGTAAGCTGTGGTCAAAAAGTTGTTCCCCATTCTACCTTAAGATGTCACTGCAGACGTATGAATGCCTGTACTGACCCCTCTGTGCAGCTTCTCTCATCTGGTCTGTGTAAGGGTCCAGCAGGAGGCCTGTAAGTGCTTAATCTATGTCTCCTGATCCCTAACAGAGGCTGTTTGTTTGCTCTCCCTGCAGGGCAGCTTCAGCTTCAATGGTGCCAAATTGCAGCAGTATGTGCATGAAACAATCACCAGGATCTTCAAGAAGCACGGTGAGTACAATATGCTTGTCTGGTGCGTGTCAGCGTGAGCCTTTGTTGACCCTCCTGTTCCAACTGCTTGGACTCCTGACCTGCTGTAGGCTCTGTTTTTAAGGGACCCCAACATCTGCTCCAGTGGGTGGCAGCTAAACAATGAGCACACTGTTGGGCAGTGCAGATTCTGTGCAGGTGGTGGGTCTATTTTTGTGCACTTTTGCTGATGATGTCCAGCTGCTCTTATTTGTTTATGCTCAGTGTGTATCTGCTCACACACATTTGTTAATGGTGAGGGTTATGTTATCTTTACTGCAGATGTAGCAGTAACGCGTTATGTTTGTTTTCAGGTGCGGTGCGTCTCCAGACACCGCTGCTCCTCCCCAGGAACAGAAAGCTGTATGACAGCAGCGAGCCGGCGTGCTTCATGGACCACAGCGGAATGCTGGTTACTTTGCCCTATGACCTTCGTGTGAGCTTGACACACGTGCACACATAACACACACACACACACACACAGGTGTGCATGTCTGCACTCGCACACCAACTCTAATTACACAACTATTTGCATCAGCACATGCAAACACACACATCGTGTGAAGGTGCAATCAGCAGCCGCCTTCAGATCCTGCTACCTCAGGAAACCCTGAGGACTAAATGGTTGTTTCCACTGTGTGATTGATTATAGCCTGGTATGCTCGACTTCACTGTCATTATGCCAATGCACCTACTTTAACCCGACTGTCTTTTTACTTCAGATGGCGTTTGCAAGATTCATCGCTCGCAACAATATAACCAATCTGAAGAGGTAAAGTTCATTAATTGATTCAACCGATGGTGATGCCCTAAATTCTGTTACATCCCAAGAAACAACGATGGTCATTTGTTAGCTTAAATTTGCAGCAGTGCTTCAATTCAAACTCATCTTTGTGTTTCCTTTAACCTTTGTACATCAAGGATCTCTCATTTTTATGGTAACAATCAGGAAAGGTTTGTGATATTATTTGACAGGATCATTGAATGTTTCACATTACATATTTGAATCTCTAAGCCCAACAGCTTCAGCTACATCATTAGTAGGCCTGGTTTATATGAGTTGACTGAAAACAGACCATGCATGTTGAGAATAACCACCTGTGTTCCACCTCTGCTTTCTGTTGTCAAACCGTCTCTGTTTTTCTCTTGGTCTTCCTCCAGGTATAGCATTGAACGTGTATTCCGGCCCAGGAAGCTAGATCGAGCACACCCGCGGGAGCTTCTGGAGTGTGCCTTTGACATCATCACACCCGTCACTAACAGCCTCCTACCTGACGCCGAGACCATTTACACCATCTCTGAAATAGTCCAGGAATTCCCCGCACTCCAGGTTACACTCACGAACTGCCTGTGTTTTTCTATGATGGAGCGATCTGACATTTTTGCCCACATTCCTACAGAGTCGTTTGTTGATGCATGATTGTTCTTTTTCCTGCGGATGCCATCATCCCAACCTGTCCTGTTTTTGTTTTTTCCCTTTTTTTCCCCGTTCCTCTTGCATTCCTAACATACCAAAGTATGCGTAAGCCTGACAGATTTACACTGGATTTATTATTTATATAATAAGTCTGTTTTGTGCACCTTGGTCCACTTCCTTCCCTGCCTCCAAGAACAGTACATTTCCTGTCCACATATCCCAGTGCTGCGTCAGTCTCCAGTCGCTGCTTTCCTGCATGTTACATGAGCTCGCTCAACCCGGGGTCTGTCCTCTTGTTCATCCTTTTTAAAGATTATGTTCCTGGTCCTCTCCCAGCTTTTCTTTTTGTGTGTGTGTGTGAAAGCTTTTAAGAAAATGTGAGTCAGACAGAATGAGAGGGCAGCTGAACACCTCTGTCATTTTTCACTGAGAGGCTCATTGTACAGTAGTGCTCTTGCTTTTGTATATAATTGCTGTTGAAAGGGGTTAAAGGTGTGATTGCGTGTGTTTTTGTGGCCCCAGGAAAGGAACTATAACATTTACCTGAATCACACCAGCTTGTTGAAGGCCATCCTGCTCCACAGTGGAGTCCCAGAGGATAAACTGAGCCAGGCCTCCAACATACTGTGTGACGCCATGGTCAGTGAAGGTCACACGTGCGCCACAGATGTTATCCACATCGCGTGTCTTTTTCTAACATCCTGGCATAAACATATAAAGCAGAAAATACTTCCCAAATATAGCAGGGGTAACCTTTGTATGACTTCCTCTTCTTTTTGCTCCAGAGTGAAAAACTGACCAAACGTGAGGTGGAGGCAAAGTTCTGCAACTTCTCACTGTCAACCAGCAGCGTAAGTGTCCAACCGGGACATGAACCCTCTGTAAAAAAAAAAAAAGAATCATTACTGCAGCAGCTCGTTTCTCTCTCGCGTGTAAACACTGAGATCTCTCCTCCGTCCAGTTGCAGACACTGTACAAGTACATAGAACAGAAGGGGGACCTGCAGGGCTTGGCGCCACTGCTGACATCACTCACCAAACAGAAGACCGCTGTCACCCAGCTGGCAAAGCAGGGCCTCAAGGACCTAGAGGAGCTCACCGTGCTGCTGCGGAGACTGGGAGTGAAACTGCAGGTGATTTGGATTCTTTTGAATGGATCCTTAAAAATTAGAAGCTTTCCCCCATTTCTTACCCCAATCTTTTTTTTTTCTCCAGGTGGTGGTCAACTTAGGCTTAGTTTACAAGGTACAGCATCACTCCGGGGTCATCTTCCAATTTGTGGCTTTCATCAGAAAACGAAAGCGAATCGTACCTGATATAGTGGCCGCTGGAGGACGCTACGATCACTTGGTGAGTTTTACTGGCGCTCATTTTCGTGACAAAAAAAAAAAAACTGCTTTTAGAAATGTGGCCAAAAAGCTTTCATTCCACATATGAATGTGAACCATTTTCCCCCCTTTCCATCTGACACATACTGCAGTTCCTCAATCTGCATTTCATTAATTTGACACAATGATTCACTCCACCTGCTGTTTTTATGTGTTTCCCTCTCTGTGCTGTTAGATCCTGGAGTTTCGAGGGCCAGCTTCCACGGTGCCTGTGCCCTCTGCGGTGGGAGCCAGCGTGGCCCTGGACAAAGTGTGTGCTGCTATTGCCAACATGGAGGAGCCAGTGAGAGACACACACACACACAAAAACACACACACACACACACACACACACACACACTGGGTTCTGACATTCTTAATTATTGTGATGAAGGAGCAGCAGACAGAGCTGCATATTTAATGATGCCTTATGCGGGAGTCGGCTGCCGCACAGCCACTTTTAGAAACATGTTAATAACTATTATGAGTATTGTGCTTGACGCTGCTGGGTTATTTTTGGAGGGGTATCATTTTCTGTATTTCATATTGAGAATATGAAACGATGTGCCAAGAAATCAGCATGCAGTGTGAGGGCCGAGAAGAGTAATAAAGAACTAATTTCTTACAAAGCAGTTATTTTTGTAACAGCTCACTGCCTCTTTGTGCTTTTGACAGGTTTTCAACTCAACTGCTTGTTCTTTTTTTCCTTTCCTTTTTTTTGTAGCCATCAGTGAGCTCCTGTGATGCGCTGGTGGTGCCCGTGGGGCATTCTTCGATGTCCAGAGCCATCAACGTGGTCCAGAAGTTGTGGAGCGCCGGCGTCCCTGCGGACATCAACTACGATGTCTCACAGGTGAGTGGCCTGCTGACTTTAAACGCACAGGATGTAAAATCTTTGTAAAATATGTTTACTGACGATGTATCCAAGTATAATTCACATGAAGTTTTTATCACAGCAACAGTACGGCAGCTTTCAGTAGCAGCTCCCGCTTCCTTAGGCAGCGGTCTTTGATGTAACATCTGGTGTTTCCTTGGCAACGATAAACATTTCGTGTCTGTCATGGCGGATCAACCGCGTGGACTTCAAACATAACACAGCAGCGCTTGGAGTGGTCCAATCTTTTAAGTCGGTTGCATTCAATGTCAGCATTTCAGTTTAAGCTGTCATTGAAAAAAGAACAAGTGTTTGAACTAAATACCAGACTATTAACGTATACCTACAGTATGCTGCTTTTTTTGTCTACAAATGTGAACTTCATCATGAAAAGAACATACGGTATGCCATGGAATGCTAGAATGCTTGTCAAACTTAAATTTAAATAAATGATTAGCAGGTTAATGCAAAAAACTTCAATCTTAGTGAAGTCAGATTCACATAGGCCCAGACCTAAATTAATCTCAGCTGAAGGAAGAAATCAGCAGAAGGAACGCATGTGGAGCAGTACAATACAAAAAGAGTGGTTTGTTTTCATACATTCATAATTAGGTAAGATAAAAAAAACCTTTATTTTGTTGTCTGACTTACATTTTACATTCCTGAATAGGTGATTTCCTTAAACCCCCTCTGTCGTTCTTCTCCTGTAGTTACGTCGTACCACCTACAGAGGGCAACACTAAACTTCCATTCTTGTAGAAAAAAACTCTAATCTGTCAGCAGCAGATTTATCAAGACAGCATCAGAAATAGTAAACATCACAGAGAATGTGCTGCACTCTGCGGTTTCATTTGAAACAGGCTTGTTTTGGGACAACATGCCACAGAGTCCTATCTTGCAAGTAATTGACTCTGTCCTCTGTTGAATGAGCTTCCAGTGAAGTGTTTTGATGTGTTTTGGTGATGGAAACTTGAACTGTGATTGGAGCAGTGATTCAAGCTGATGTCGCTCCCCCTTTCATGTGAAGTCATTATCTCCCTGTCCAGAACCCCTGATGCCATGCCTCTGTCACATTCTTCATGTTTATGTGACAAACTGATCTCAGCGCTCGTGTGTTGGTGTAAACGCTCTCACTGGCACATTAAGGTGCCCACATTTAAATAGTCCTCCTGTTTTTTCCCCTTTAGCTCTTGATAACCCATTGTTTGAACGTTTCACTTCTGCAGTGTATAAATGTTTGCTTTCATGGTCTTCATTGTCTTTTGTACTACTGGCACAGGACATAAGCGATTGGCCACCTTCATTTCCCCCCGGAGTTCTTAGAAGCAATTAGCAAAGGTTGGGTTTTGGCTGGAAAAAGCTGCGCTGCGTCCAAATTGCCGGCGGTATTTGTGTGTGGTTTTTGTTTATGTATGCAGGTGACGCCTTGACTGGTGGCGAGATGCTGAGAACACCTTGTTCAAACCTTCTCACCCATCTCTCTCTCTCCCCCTCGCTCGCCTTTAACTTTTTTTTTTAAAAACACTTCACATACTGGCTTCTTAACTTGCAGAATCTGGAGCTACAAGGAGACACTTACACTGCTTTAGCTTTTATAAGCCAAATATGGCAAAACCTTTCTTCTCTCATGCTGTCAGCGCCCATCAGCCTCAAGGGAACGGCTTACCTTTGACTTGATTTGTTCTGTCGTTGAGAAAGTTGCAAGAACAGAGGAAGTCTTAGTGCTTGTGTGATGATGGGGCAAAGACACGCACTCACACTTGTTCATGAAGGGTTTTTTCCTGTAGCGTCGTTAGCTCGTCTAGCTGTAGCAGCCAGAGAAGTATCTGGTTGGATTTTATTAGAATAAACTCGGCTTACCCAAACAAACACAAACATGCATGCACATACATGCTGTCAGCGTTGGATGCATCACCTGAAGGCAAATGGTTTGTGAGTTTTGGGTCCGTGCACGCTCCTCTCGTTCTAAGAAAAAACCCTACTGCTGCTGTAGAGGAATGTTTGAGGTTAAAGTTAAGTTTTCCAACCTTTGTGCTTTGGCCAAGCGATATCTCAACCATGCCCTTTCCCTTCTATTTCAGCAACCACATCAGCCTCAGTGCAAAAATGGGCAGCCACAGCATTAAGTCAAAAAAGAAAATTCCTGTGATGTCATCAAACGTGACCCATGATTCTTTTAGTGTTTCGCGGAAGAAAAACACTCAAAACATTTGTGATGGCTGCAGTCTTTCAGCGCTGCAATTTCCATAATTCCATTCAACACTTCCTTCTAAACTGAACCCATGCAAGCCCTCTGGTTGGCACCATGAGCTCTATTCAGACTGCAGATTCAAGGTGTAAATGAATATCGTGGCAGGGACAAGGGGGACAAAGTGATCCCTCCCATCTATGCTGACTTAGGTAGAAGTAACAGAAGCGCTACAGGGGTGAGACTGGATCGGTGGAGCCAGTGGGGAAGAACAGTGCTGTGTGTGTGCACGTCTTTAGTGTGTGTGTTTATGTGGAAGTCCCCAACATGCTAATGCAATTTCAACAGATAACACAGATAAGGACACTAAAATGATGCCGCTGCAAAATCAATATGAATGTCTTAAGGCGTAATGATGGCAGAGCTTGGTTATTGCACTGTTGCTGAATTGCACAATGAAAAGGGCTTTAGCGACAGACCATCAACAAGCCAGTACAAGCAGAAATCAAACAGTGTATTGTCCATGTGTGCAGTTGTAAAATCTCAGCTTTCTATTCTTTCTGTTTTAAGATATAGACAATGCTATTTGTATGCGCTCTTAAATTCCACTCAGATTGTGTATGTGTGTCTTCAGCCTTGTGTCATTTTTGTGTGTGCAGTCTCAGGAGACACTGTTGGAACAGTGCAGGCTTGGCGGCATCAGCTTCATGGTTCTGGTCTCTGACAAGGAGGGAAACTACATGAAGGTAAAGAAACGTCTTGAACAGCGCCTGACTGAAATATCTGCCGGTGGATTTTATTTCCACTGTTTTGTCAATCGTAAATATGTATCATTATCGCAGTATTTGTTTTCCAATGTACATAAAGAGGAAGACTACTCATTACAGAACATATTACCGGTAATCCAAAAAACAATGCTTTGAGTTTATTTTTAGCAGTTTTCATCCCATAGTTTGTTTGATTTCGAGCACTCTAATTTTCAGCACTGCATGCAGCACATGCATAAGCAGGCGGTGGTCTTCATTTAATCAAAAATGTAACATATTGTGTCATATATTTTTATTATATTACATGTTCTTTTATACAGTTAATTTTTTTTAATAAAGCATCAGAAATTGTCATCTTCATTCAAGCACAAAATTCTTTTTTTTTTCTGCTGCCTCATCATTCATCTGTAGAATTTGACGCTTACAATCAATATTGATCTCAAAACTCCCAAAGGGTTCAGCCTCTTGAAATGCAATCACATCTGCAAGTACAGTGAAAAATGCTACAAATTAGCGCTGCCGGATAGCCTAGCGATTTGGTCCCGCCCCTGTGGACAGAGGCTGTATTATTACCAGTGTTCAAGTCAGACCGGTGGCCTCTTTCTCACAAATCAATAATGATTGATTGTGTCAATCCCAACTCTCTCTCCTGATTTCACACTCGATCCCCTGTCCTATCAAATCAATGCATAAAAGCCCAATAATAAACCTTCAAACAAATGCTCTAAATTAGGCATCAATGCATTCTTTTTACATACTGTAAGAAGACATTTTTTTTCTGTGATTAGCATTGCTGATCATGATGCTCTTTGTAATAACAGAGAGATCAGGGAACGGTTGTATAGAGCCGCACATGTTTAACTCATTATCTGTCTCCAGGTCAAATCCTTTGAGAAGGACAGACAGTCTGAGAAAAGAATTCCCGAGTCGGACTTGGTGGACCAAATCATTCAGAAATGTCGGACCAAATTCTTTGAGGACAGAAACATCAGGTAAAGACGTTTGGGTTGAAAGTTCTGCTTTGATATGTGGATGATGTCAGAGGATTGTTCTTACATAATGTTGCTCTTCTGGCCCTTTCAGAGAAATGTCTGAAGGCATGTCTCTTCAGAACCCCAAAGGATCACTGCTCAACACCACAGGTACTGTCTCCAGGCTGGTCTGATTAAACAGCTTCAACTTCATATTTGTAACCTTTTAAATTCTCAGTGCAGCATGAAACAGACCCACCTCTGTTTTTATACAGTCGTCTTTTGAGTCCACCATAGTTCTGCATGCAATAAACAAGCAGAGTTATGAGACAGATGATTGGTATCTATGTTTGATCAGCAGTGTATGACTGACTCCAGTGTTACATTTTCACTTCTGGTATTTAACTCAGTTATTAACTCAGTGACGCAGCGCTACACAAGTGGAAGTGTTGCATTTCACACCGTTTCTGGCACGCACACTGAGAGCAACCAGACAGTTTCAATTGAAGTGAATGAAAGTTTTAAACAAGCTGTTTTTTCACAGTCGCCTCATTGGAGAGTGTAAATGTAAGATCATGAGATTATATAGACTTTTAATTTAAGTAATTAAGTGCAGTTAGACCTTTTTGTTTCTGCTGCAAGGTTCCTCAGAACAGCACGGGAGCAGCAGCACGAACATGAACGTTAACGTCATCAGCCCGGAAAAAGTTTCCGCCAGTGCTAGACGACGCTACGAGATTCAGGTGTGACACACACACACACACACACACACACACACACACACACACACACACACACAGAACAGAACTAATAAAAACAAACATTAGCAGCCTCTTCAGATTGGCTCTTTGGTAATACTGATAGGAGTGATTTGTTTCTTTCAGATATTCTGTTGTGGTTATTGAAATTAGTTACAAATGTTTTCCATTGAGACTAAAACTGGAGTTTGCATCTGGACCGGCTCATTAAAACCTTTCTTTTCAGCCCCACATGTGCACAGAAAACACCATGAAATACACCATTTGGCAGAGCAGTAGACATTGTGATTTAGTTTTATGAATTTGACTAGTAAAACAGTGCAGGTGTTGATTGCAAAGTACGCAGTTCTTCATTGTGGATACAAAGAGAGGACGTGCTTGTCCTTGGCAGCCATACAGGGAGGACTGTGATGCTGGGTAAACAGTGTTTGTAAAATGCTGCATGTGGTGTGATCAGAAAAGTATAAATATTGCCAACAGGTTTGAATGGATGATTTTGCAGATAAACTCATGACTCATGTTGTCAACAGAAACAGGGTTTTTCCAAGTCTTGGCTCTTAAAAAACGTTTTTTGATTTGTGTCTTGCGTATCTGCCTTTCACATTTACTGTAAGTGTGTTGATAAAGTGTAGGGAATAGCTGCTTAATAAATGATTCCATGTCAACTTGTTCTTTTCCTTGTTCATTTTTGCCATGGGAATAACCAGTTTTTCCTCCACCCTTTTCCATCTCTTTCCATCTTCTTGCTTAATTCGTTTCTCTTTAACTCTCTCTTTTTCAGATCCAAACCAGATTACAGTATCTTGGTAGCAATTTGCAGAACAAGAGCAATGACATCGAGGTCCTGGCAGTAAGTCATTTGTTTGTTTATCCCTCCCATTCCCAGCTTTCCCCTCTCTCTTTCAGATCTCCCACCTTATCTTTTGAATTCATGTGTAAAATGACAGAGTGAGGAAAGGACTTTTGATAGCTAAAACAGCAAACATCTCTACGGAACAGGCCTTTTACAGCCATTTGCGTTGTGCTCAAATCCCCTGCTGGAGGTTAGCGTGGCTGTGAATCGGTTCTCGTCGCTATAGAACAATGAACACTAAACAGAAGGCAGCGGGCGTGTCACTACATGGGACGTAAATGGCTGCCATATTGAGTTTATTTGTGGTGGTGTTGTAGATTTATGGCCACATATTCTCATAGTAAATCAACCCTGCTTGCCTTGTTTACCAAGTCGCTGCATATTCTAAATACATTTGTCATTGTTGTTGTGGTCTGGACTGCATCAGCAGAACAAGAGTAAATGCAGGTTATTGAAACACAACAGGCATAATCACCTTGAGTCTGGTAAGCAGTTGTACAGGCCTGTGAGTCCAACTTTGTGCCTGTCAGCTGCCTGCTTGTCCTGCAGTTGGACTGAAACACAACAGTACTCATGTTCCAATTTAAACATGATTTTAGCTACTTCTCGCAGTAAGTGCATAGAGTGCTTTGAGGCATGTGGAGAGCAATCTGAAAATATGATTATAAGTAAGATAAGATAACACTTTATTGTCCGTTTGCATGAAAATGTGTCTTGCATTACAAGCTCAGGAATCCTCACATCACAATCAAATCACATCACACGTAAAAGACAGGAAAAAAAAGAAAAACAGCATTAAAGGAAGAATGTGCAACTTTTTGATCCAGTAGATGTCGCCCTTGAGCACCAGCAGGAAACCAAAACAAACTGCTGTTTGTCGACATCTTCACTCTTCTGAAGCCTCTGCTTTCCCCAAGCGACACACCTCCAACCAACAAAATTGTCCTGGGCTCGAGGTGCAAACCCGTGGTCTGCATCGTTGTGTTAGCAGGCTAATGTTAGCACGCTTTAGTTAGCCCGTAGTTTCACATTGCATGTAAATTGACAGAATGACACAGACAGCGGGACTCAAAAATCTTCTAGGGAAGATATATAATAGAAACATGCATTAATGGCAGCCTATAGCAACATAAGTAGGTAAGTAGGGCCTTGTCCAAGCATTAGCCAGCCCCAAGTATAAGCTTTATCAAAATGGTTGTTTTCAGCCTCCTCTTAAAGGTAAAGAGGGTGTCTGCCTCCCAGACCCAAACTGGTAGATGATTCCAAAGGAGAGGGGCATGATAATTGAAGGCTCTACTTCCCGGTACCACAAGCAGATATTATCCTGAGTCCAAAGAATTGTAAATCCTATTGGGCATCAGCTGTAACCAACTAACCATAGTCATTTCAACTCGTTTATGAAAGCTTTATTTGGAGGAATTTCTCTATTCCGTCGTGTTCTGTGTGTTTGTGATTTTGGCACCATTGTGTTTTTTTGTATAAACCCGACTTGTTTGTGTCCCACAGGTGGACCTGCAGAAGGAAACTCTGGTCAACTTCCTGTCCCTCGAGGTTGGTTTAATACCCGCTTCATATTTACAGTGAATTAACGGTCACCTCTATATAAAGACTGGGAGGGAAGAGGGAAGTGGAAAGAACAGGCTCTGGAGGTCAAGTTCCTAGACAGGAAGAGGGGATCCCGTCTGCTTCCTTACAGTCTGATGAGGAGTGCAGTGAGGGAACACCCTCGCCTCAGTCTAACTTCCACTCCCTTAACAAGGCTCGCATGTGGAACAGACACGTTGTACAGTTAACAAAACGCATATTATAAGGTGTTAATACTCACATTCCCGACTCCTGAGCAAAGCTGCACACATTTAAAGCTCGCTTCCAAAGAGCAGAAGTTTAAAAAAACACCTTAATTATATTATGCTAAGTAACATAAGGCTGCAAAAAGGACCTTAACACCACACTTATATAAGCAAAGGCCTCTTTTCCAGTACTGAATGGGCCACCTATATAGTCAGCCCCTCATAGCACATGTGTCGGAGAAAACAAAGAAAACATGTGTCAAAGAACAGCCAGGCATGCAGCAGCAAAGGCCTGTTTGAAATATGGCAAATTAGCCAGAGTCACACAAGGAGTCAGAGAAGTCGAAGTCGTAGATAAACGATGTGTACATTCTGCTCTGCCACAATCGACATGCAAAAATAAACTCCAAGGCTGCAGTTACAAAATATATTTATACCTTTAGAAATACTGTCTTCTGTAATATTCTCACATTGTGAGGTGTTATGTTGGACGGTCTGACATTTCTTGATGGTAATCATGACTTCTACCGGGCTTTGTTTCATGTCATTGAGCTACTTTTCTATCCTGCATGCATCAATTTGTCCCTCCTCCTGTTGCTGTAACCCTTGCATCTTTGTTTTTACAGTTTGACACTGAAGAGCAGTTTAACAGCAGCGTGAAGACCCTGCTGTCTCGTCTCCCCAAGCAGCGCTACCTGAAGTCCATCTGCGACGAGATCCACCATTTTAAAATGGCAAAAAGGTGCGTTTTTGTGCCTTTGTATGTTTACACGTAATCCTTTACTACGCTGCTGTAATTACTCTTTGACTCCACTACATTTCATGGGTAAATATTGTTTTAAAATCCCCATTTTCCCATGCGTAGCCGTGTCTTGAGTGTCAAATTTTTCCCAAAAGTAAAGAAACAGGAGGAACTGATACTGTAGTGACACTTTCCAAACAAACACCCCCCCCAGTGTTAGACCCCCAAGATGTCTCTGTTAACTCGCATGTTTTTATAAACTTATGAATTTTCTGTTTTAAAGTAGGGAGCGCAACATAACAGCCAGGCCATCCGGTGCCCCAAATTAATTTTTTAATGAAAACTGATGCAAACGGTGGAAGGCATTAAATGTGATTTTTTTTAAATGGCTTAAAAGACGGACTTCCTTTTAAGGGCAGCTGCCACACCAAGGCTCCGACCGAGCCCACGCGGCCCAGTTGTAACGGTGACAGTCAGTCCTTCAAAGGGAGCTGTTAGATAGATAACTACTGCCTTACAGAGCATCAAATCCTCAGCTGATCCCATTTCCTGAGATGAAATCTGGGGGAGGATTAGCCTTGTTTGGTCCTCCGATGTCTGTCTCTTAACACCCAACTTGATTGAAACTGCGATTGAAGCAAAGGGGGTGGGAGCTTTATCCATCACTGTGGTTGTGAAAGGAGCAGTTAATATTCCCCAGAAGAATGTTCAAAGCTCAGGCTAATTCCTCAGTGTTTTAGCTTCTAGCGTTGTGACGCTCGTGAAAGCCCACAGAGAAACACCCTGTGAGGGATTCAACGGATTTTCTCTTTCATGAATGAGATGGTCACGAAACGAAATCAAAGCTTCTCTTTCTGGCTTCCCGTCTGCCTCGCCAGAGCAGTTGGTTTTAATTTCCTGTTTCTGCTGTGTGTTTGATTTGCCATTTAGAGAGGGGCGGGGGAGTCTCTGTTGATACATGAGCATCACTGAGGCAACAATGGACATATTCAGTGTGTGTTTTATTGTGTTTGTTTAGTTGTTTTCTCTGAGTGTGGAGGACAGGCAACAGAAGCCAGATGAGTTAAAGAGCTCATGAAGTCACCTGGCTGCTGGAGGACTATAAACTAAACACACCCTACATTAGGCATGTGTAAGAGAAAAACTTTGTTCATGACCTGTTTCTCTGAGCAATTTAAACTAGCAGCTCTATGATGCTGTTATAATGCTTTAAGCTTAGCACTCACTTCAACATGCTAATATGCTCACACTGACACAATGCTAATGCTATGTTGATGTTTAGCTAGTACTACGTTAATGTAGTTGAAATTTCTTTTAGTCTGACACTCTAACCAGGCCAAAGTTTCAACTAGATTAACATAGTACTAGCTAAACATCAACATAGCATTAGCATTGTGAGCATGTTAGCATGTTTGTTTATTATTAATTTATGTTAATAAACAAACATGCTAATATCCTCACAATGACACAGTGCTAATGCTATGTTGATGTTTTGCTAGTAGGCTACTATGTTAATCTAGTTTAAACTTTGACCTGGTTATCGTGTTTGATAAAAACAGCCCTGGGGATTATGTGACTTCATGATAGCACTTGATTTCTGAGACGTCATTTCAAAATGAATAAATAAAAGTAATTGAACCTCATTGTGGCGTTAAAGAAACTTTTAGTGATTTAAAAAAAAAAAAAAAAAGCGATTACGCTTCAAAACAATTTGATGTGAAGTGGTAAGAAATACATTTTATTGTGATTTAGTGCTATATAGATACAGACTAAAGGAAGCTACTATGAAGTCATCCATTGGTTTATTGATCTTTTCATTATGGACATCACCATTCATTTATTCATTTTAGCCAGAAGTGACCATATAACACACAACCACATCCGAAGAC